TGTGCCTTTCCTGGAACTCACTCTGTAGCCCAGGCTGGCCTGACTTTTTAATTAATTCATTTTGTTTAAAAAGTAAGAACTGAAATAAGTAAGCTGGGCGGTGGTGGCACATGCCTTTTAACCCAGCACTTGGGAGGCAGTGGCAGGTTGATCTCTGTGAGTTTGTGGCCAGCCTGTTCTACAAAGTGAGTTCCAGGTCAACCAGAGCTGTTTGTTACACAGAGGAACCCTGTCTGGGGAAAAAAAGAGAGAGAGAGAGAGATAGATAGATAGATAGATAGATAGATAGATAGATAGATAGATAGATAGATAGATAGATAGAAAGAAAGAAAAGAAAGAACTGGTTCATTGAAGCCGTGGGTATGCTGAATCTTTTAGGGATACCTCATGATACAAAATGCTAATAGCAAGAACAGCAGTGCTTGCCAGCATTTTAAAAGTACTTCCTTCTTGAATGCATGAGCACAGGAGATCACTTCCTAAATATAACACCAACAGCACAGACACTGAGAGCAAAAACTAATAAATGGGACCTCTTTAAACTGAGAAGCTTTTGTAGGGCAAAAGACAGGGTCAATAAGACAAAAAGACAGCCTACAGAAAGGGAAAAGATCTTCACCAACCCCACATCTGACAAAGGACTGATCTCCAAAGTATATAAAGAACTCAAGAAACTAGACATCAAAATACTGAACAATCCAATATTAAAATGGGCTATAGAGCTAAACAGAGAAGTGTCAAAAGAAAAATCACAAATGGCTGAAAGACATCTAAGGAAATGCTCAACATCCTTAGTCATCAGAGGGGACCCTAGGATGACTGTGGCTTATAATAAGTTTTGGTTTTATCCAATCACTGGGCAAGCTTTAGTGGAACATTTCACTATTAGGATACGAATTTTACTGTATCAAGCTGATGAAAGAAAATGCTGGCCGTACTTTCAGGAGGGGAGGCTAAAATCTTTTTAGATTATGGATTAACCTATAGAAAAATGTCTGCTATAAATCAAACAATGAAGGGGACGATGAATAGGTATCTCACTTACACAACTTAAGTAAAACAGCTCTCTGAACAGATGAAGATAGGTTTCTTCTGTATTCCAGAATCTAATCAATATTTGTATGTATAATTCGGCTATCATTTGGCTTAAAAGGGCTTATTGGGAAATGTTATCATTTATACTTTTTTTTTTTTTCTCTCGAGAAAGGGTTTCTCTGTGTAGCTTTGCGCCTTTCCTGGATCTCACTCTCTACACCAGGAGATCCTCTGCCTCTGTCTCCTGAGTGCTGGGATTAAAGGCGTGCACCACCACTGCCTGGCCCATTTATACTATTTTGTACAGAGAAAATATTTTACTGTTTAAAATTTAAAAAAATTAAAAGTACTTCCTGTGTCCTCCTGCCGGTTCTTCACAAGCGTTGTCTAGTTTCATACATGACTTTGAACTAGCTACTGGTTTGTTTGTTTCTGTGGTGTCTCTAGCATACGGTGCTCTGTCATACTCTGGAGGACATGGATGACAGGCGTGCTCCTGTGTCTGGTCAGTGGTTATTACTCTAATGCTGTTCACATTTTAGAGCTGGGGAAGCTAAGGCATAGAGAGGTCCCCCTGGAGTCCCACACTGAGGGGCCTGGAGTAAGGGTAGAGTTAGTGTCCAAGAGTGTGGAGCATTGGGACCATGCCCTCAACTGACCACAGACCTGCCTCCTGTTCCAAACATTCATGGATAACAGGCATGTACCACCGTATCTGGATTCTTTTTACATTTTAAATAAATTCAGAACTTTTGAGTTATAGGCAGCAGTTTGTGTCATACCACCTAAAACTTGAAGCGTAAGGAACTTTTGTCTTAGGCTAAATATATGTGGTACCCTTACCCTTTGCTTATACATTGTAACATCCCAGCCGTTTTCTAACCTGTCTGAAAAAGAAGACATATAAAAATCATTAACTGTGGGTCATTGAGAGGAATCAGTGGGTAAAGGTGCTTGCTGCCAAGTCCAGCAGCATGAGTTTGATCCCTGGGACCCACATGGTAGAAAGAAAGAAAATCGACTTTCAAAAGTTGTCCTCTGCAAGGCATGATGGTGCTCACCTTTGATCCTGCACTTGGGAGGCAGAGGCAGGTGGATCTCTGAGTTCAAGGCCAGCCTGGTGTACAGAGTGAGTTCCAGCACAGCCAGGACTACACAGAAAAACCCTGTATGGAGAAACAAAAACAGCAAAAATAGAAAGTTGCCCTGACTGCCACACACTCCGTGGAATGTGTACACACAGGCACATACACACTCCATAGCATGATTGCCCACACAGGCACACACACACACACTCACACACTCAATGGCATTTTTGCATACACAGGGATGCACACACTCCATGGCATGTGTGTACACACAGGCACACACACACACATACACACACACACACACACTCCATGGCATGTGTGCTTACACAGGGATACACACATTCCATGGCCTGTGTGTACACACAGGCACACACACACACACACACACACACACACATACACACACACACACACACTCCATGGCATGTGTGCTTACACAGGGATACACACATTCCATGGCATGTGTGTACACACAGGCACACACACACACACACACACACACACTCCATGGCATGTTTGCATACACAGGCACACATACACTCCATGGTATGTGTGCATACACAGACACACACACAGCACACTTTATGGCATGTGTCCACACACAGGGTCACACATTCCATGGCATATGCACACACAAGCACACATACATACTCCATGGCAAGTATGCACACACACACTCATCAACTTAAAAAGAGCATGTTCATGATTTTGTGGAGATTCACAGATGGTAAAGAAAGTCTTAAGATTAGAGAGAAAAGGGGGCTGGAGAGATGGCTCAGAGGTTAAGAGCACTGACTGCTCTTCCAGAGGTCCTGAGTTCAGTTCCCAGCACCCACATGGTGACTCACAACCATCTGTAACAAGATCTGGTGCCCTCTTCTGGCCTGCAGTCATACATGCTGTATACATAATAAATAAATAAAGAAAAAAGATTAGAGAGAAAAGTAATAACTGAAGGGAGTGTTCTAGAGTCAGAGCTGTTGTTCTAGAAGAGGCACAGAATCGAAATGTTCCTTTTCAGAATTGGGGGTATAACTCGTTAAGGACATGCTTAGCACGCAGAAGGCTCTGAGCCCCAGTGTTCCTTTTGGTGTTATGTGCCACTCCAACATCTCACCCCCTTCATTACCAGGAAACTTAAACTCCATCGTTTGAACATCCCCCTCCCCCTTGTGTATATATGTTTTTGTAGACAGAGTCTCACTGTATAATCCTAGCTGGTCTGGAACTATGTAGACCAGTTTGTCTTTGAATTCATAAACATCCTCCTGCCTCTGCCTCCTAGGTGCTGGGATTAAAAGTGTGGGCCACCCTGCCACCAGCCCCAGTATAATTTTATAAAAGTGTTTTTATTTGTGTGTGGGGGGATGTATGTGCAGTTGTATATTCTTGACTGGACACTGAAGGTTGGAGTTGGGAGTCGTCTTCTATGGCTCTCCATTTGACCTCATCTCTGCCCACCCCAGCGCTGGGTTGTAGACGTCCACACTGGCTTTTACATGGGCGCAGGGATCTGCACAGCAGACACTACCCACTGAGCCATCTCTCCAGCCCGAATTCGGATTTTGTCATGAAATTTAGTAGGAAAAGCAGAACGTTTTTTGTCTTTGGTGTAATGTGTGTGTGTACGTTTATGTGTGTGAGCACTGTGTTCCATGGCATGAGTGTGGTGCACAGGATAACCTCAGGTGTAGGCCTTGGCCCTCTACCTTGCTCGAGACAGGCCTTGTTTGGGGCTTCGGTGGGCCCCAGGCTTGTGGACTTCCAGGGATTCTCCTGTGTGCAGGAGGAGTGCCGGGATTACACACATGAGATACCGCGTCCGGCTTTATGTGGGTGCATTAGTTACTCACCTGTTGCTGTGATAAGCACCATGACCGCAAACAACTGATGGTTCTAGAGGAGAATCCACAATGGCAGGAAGGCATGGGAGACAGCCAAGGGTGGAGCTGAAAGGGCACATCCCAACACAAACACGGCAGGCCGAGGGCACTGGAAGTGGGGGAGATTATAAACTTTCACAGCCTGCCCACAGTGATGTACTCCCTCCAGCAGGGGCACAAGAGCACACCACCACCTTCTCTTATGGCTGAAACAGCTACCCACTCACTTTCCCACCCCACCCCTCAGACAGGGTTCTCTGTGCAGCCCTGGCTGTCCTGGAACTCACTCTGTAGACCAGGCTGGCCTTGAACTCACAGAGATCAGCCTGTTTCTGCCTCCTGAGTGCTGGGATTAAAGGCGTGCGCCACTATGCCTGGCAAGGCCACACCTCTTTAAGATTCCACAACCTCCCCAAATATTGCCACCAACTAGGGACCAGATATTAAAATGGGACATTTCATATTCACACCACCGCAGTGGATTCTGGGAATGGGAGCCTGAACTTGGGTTCTCACGCTTACGTGGAAGCCCTCTGTCCACTGAGCCGTCCCCAGCCTCGGACACTCTGTTTTCTTTTCTTTTATGTGTGTGAAGGTTTGCCTGTGTGGATGTGTGTATACTGTGCATATGCCTGGAGCTGCAGAGGCCAGAAGAGGGCATTGGATCCCCTGAAACTGGAGATGGTTGTGAGCCACCACGTGGGTGCTTGGAATTGAACTCCGGACCTCTGCAAGAGCAGCCAGTGCTCTTAACCTCTGAGCCATCTCCCCAGTCCCCAGCCTGGACATTCTTGCTGCAACATAGTTCTTAGGAGAATAAGTTTATTTTATAAACTATAAGCTAATAAAGTCTTGAAATAGCAACTTCATATAAATGGTAATAGATGAAGTTATAAGTGAGCAACAATACATTAGGTTTAAGAAATGACAGTTTCCCTAAAGTCTCTCTAACTCATCACACCTCTCTTTTTTCATTTACTTTTTTTTCCAGGTGAAAGACCAAAGAAACCCATTCCTCTTCAGGACCAGACTGTCAGGGACGAGAAAGGAAGGTATAAGCGCTTTCATGGCGCCTTTAGTGGCGGCTTCTCTGCAGGATACTTCAATACTGTTGGCTCAAAGGAAGGTATGACACTACCGAAGCCAGGGGACTGCTCAAGCATGTGACTGGCGGAGCTCCAGGTCCCCTCCCAGGCCTTGTCTGTGTAGCTCAGGCTGGCCTGGAACTTGAGGTTCTCAGGCTCCCAGGTGCTGGGGTCACAGGCATGAGCCCCCATGTCCAGATGCCCTCTTGGCTTTAAAAATCAAAGCTGTCTAAACATTTTGGTATACACTGTAGGACACTGAATATTCTCGAGTGCTGTTGGAAGTGAAGAACTTTCCTTCTGTGTTGTAGAAAATGGGGAGAGTCCAGCGGGTGACTAAAGCCGGATAGTGACTTCCATTTGGTCTCACTTTGCTCTAAGTACCCTCAGGCAGACTCCCAGCTAATCACTGGCTGCCTCCTCTGACTCAGTGACTAAGGACAAGTGTCACAGGTGTTATGCAGATGAGGCACCTGGGGGGTCATAGAGGTCAAGGAGCCAGAATAACATCAGAACTGCCCAGGAATCACCTGACTGTGACACACAAGTCACTGCCTGCTCATGACCTGGAGAAGGAGAAACTAAAATGTCACACTAGATAGTCTAATCAAGTCTGTATTTAAAGTAATGCATGTTGTTTTCTTTCTTCTCTCTCTCTTTTATTTTTATTTTTATTTTTATTTTTTTTTTGAGACTATACAGACCAGGCTAACCTCAAACTTGCTATGTAGACCAGGCTGGCCTTCAACTCACAAAGTTAGCTCCGCCTGCTCTGCCTCCTGAGTGCTGAGATTACAGGCATGCACCACCAGCCAGTTAACTGAATGATGTCTTATTTAGGTGCTGGGGCTAGAACCCAGGAGCTCACTGCAGGCTAAAGCAGGCATTCTATCACTGAGCTACATCCCTAGTCTCAAGGCTAGCCTGATCTACCGAGTGAGTTCCTGGCTGGCCAGGCCCCATCTTTTTTTTTTTTTGAGCTGAGGATTGAACCCAGGGTCTTGCGCTTGCTAGGCAAGCGCTCTACCACAGAGCTAAATCCCCAACCCAAGGCCCCATCTTAATAAAACAAACAAATAAACAAACAAACAGCAGATGAAATACTGTCTAGGATCCTAACAGTCCAAATTCCTTCTTTCCAGGATGGACACCCTCTACCTTCGTGTCCTCAAGACAGAACAGGGCCGACAAGTCTGTCCTTGGACCTGAAGATTTTATGGATGAAGAGGTAGGTCAGGCCGTGACAGGTGTCCTTGGGCGTGGCCCCTTCCCTCTCTCTCCCCATGCTGAGGCTTTTTCTTTTAGATGTCTGCCATGCAGTGCCCTGTACGCCCGCCAGTGACTTCTCCATCTCTCAAGCAGTGTCTGTGCTGGGGACGGTGGGACAGTTTCTGAACTCAGGAATGTTATGTACAGGCAAATGTACTTGAAAATGTCCAGTTGCCCTAACCCAGCATCCATGGGTGCTGAGCCTGAGGCTTTTCCCAGTCACCCTGAGGCACCCCGTGGTTGAGGAACTGAGAGCTAGGCTAAACTCAAACTCCCGTGACCTTAGAACCTAGGCATGGCTTCACCTGTGATCACAATCAAGTGCAAAGCAACAGAAAGCTGTCCGCTGCTGAGAGCAGGACAGAGGCCTCTAAAAACTAAACACCTGAGTCTGGCTATGTAGCTTAGGCTGGCTCTAAGCTCGTAATCCTCCTGCTTCAGCCTCCCCTAGTGCTAGGATCACAGGCAAGTGCCACCACATCTGACTTCTCTCTCTTAAATTTTCATTATTTATTTCAAGTGTATGGGTGCTTTGTCTGCATGTATGTATGCACACAAGAAAAGGGCATCGGACTGCATGAGACTGCAGTTACCAACAGTTGTGAGCTGCTGTGTGGGTGCTGGGAATTGAACTCAAGTCCTCTGGAAGAACAGCCAGTGCTCTTAACCACCGAGTCTTCTCTCTAGCCTGCAGATCTAGTAATATCTAGTAAACTGATCTCTTTAAAACTTTATTGTTGTGTATGTGTGTTAGCACAAGTGCATTTGTTATGTGTGTGTTAGCACAAGTGCATTTGGTGTGTATGTGTGTGTTAGTATAAGTGCATTTGGTGTGTATGTGTGTGTTAGTACAAGTGCATTTGGTGTGTATGTGTGTTTGTAGTACAAGTACATTTGGTGTGTATGTGTGTGTTAGCACAAGTACATTTGGTGTGTATGTGTGTTTGTAGTACAAGTGCATTTGGTGTGTATGTGTGTGTTAGTACAAGTGCATTTGGTGTGTATGTGTGTTTGTAGTA